CTGATTGAACAAATCCTCACATTTCATCTAATACAGTCAATCTTGGCTAGAGTATAACAAAGTGGAAACAGGATTACTATGATACAAAACTTCCACTACAGCACGCTGTACACACCTGTGTTCCAAGCCCACCCCCATCCCCCGTAATGCTTCCAACACAATTATTTCCCAGCCTGTTGGGCCTGCCGACGAAGGAGCACGTAGATCTTCTCTTTAATCCAGTCTTTGTTATAAGGCTGGTATGTCTGGGTATCAGCCCGGTAACTGAGGAGAGAAAGGCAATAAGCAAAGTCACAGTGGTCAATCACTGTCAGGTATTTAAATTCCCAAATTATAACCACCCAATGATGGCACAGATGTGTACATTTCCAAAAACGAACTTAATGAGAAATTGAAAGAGCTACTTACACAGTCATTAAATTTTAAGTGATATGAACTTTATATCACTTCGTACAATCTTATAGTGGAAAAAGAAAGCATGACTTAGAACTTTTAAGTTACATGCCCAATATGTTACATATCAGATTCTTGACAGAGTATGACCAGAAACCATGCGTTCTTTCTTCTACCTAGTTTCCATTTTTATGGTTCCTTTAGTGATTGAACAACAACAACAACAACAACAAAAAAACCGGCTGGATGTGATGGCTCATACCTGTAAACCCAGCGCTTTGGGAGGCCGAGGTGGGTAGATCACCTGAGGTCAGCAGTTCAAGACCAGCCTGGCCAACATGGTAAAACCTCATCTCTACTAAGATACAAAAATTAGGTAGGCATGGTGGCATGTGCCTGTAGTCTTGGCTATTCAGGAGACTGAGATAAGAGAATCACTTCAACCGGTGGAGGTTGCAGTGAGCCAAGATCTCACTACTGTACTCCGCACTCCTGCCTGGGAGACAGAGAGAGACTCAGTCTCAAAAAAAAAAAAAAAAAAAAAAAAAAAAAAAAAATCAAAAACACTAGTACAAACTTTAGATTTGCAAAGTTTATTTTGACTTAACTAAGAAAACTTTTAAAAACATGTTACTGGCAACAAAGATTTCTTGCTGACTTTCCCCCCCCCCGTAAAGTATTAAGAAAATCGTATAACCTGTATTTTAGGATTTGTTTTTTGAAATAAATAATGCTAGAGGCCTATGGAAAAGAACTATCAGAAGACATAGCAAGCTCCAAAATATCTCTATATCAGAAGGGCAAGGAGTACACAGATTAGCATTAGCAGTAAAACTCCAGTGAGACTGTGAGTAGTATCTAATAAGATGTTACAAAGTACTAGGTGTTGCTTTAAATTCTTATCTGAATTAACTCATTTTTACAACCCTGTGACTAGGTACAATTATCCCCCACTTTTTTTGAGACAGAGTCTTGCTCTGTCAGTCAGTCTGGAGTGCAGTGGTACCATCTCAGCAACCTCGCCACCCGGGTTCACATGATTCTCCTGCCTCAGCCTCCTGAGTAGCTGGGACTATAGGTGTGCGCCACCATGCCTGGCTAATTTTTTGTATTTTTAGTAGAGATGAGGTTTCACTATGTTGGCCAGGCTGGTCTTGGACTCCTAACCTCAAGTGATCCACCCGCCTCGGCCTCCCAAAGTGCTGGGATTACAGGCACCTGGCCCCCTTTTTCATAAATGAGGAAACCAAGGCTTGAAAAAATAAAGCAACTTAATTAGCTAAGTAACTACTCCTGACTCCAGAGTCCTCACTGTTAATCACTAAGTTAGAAACCTGCAATAAAATTTTTGGCAAGGGAAATAAATTCCAAAGTAGGAATGCTTTATACAATTAACATCATATTCTTCCTCTGAACAATAAGGTCACAGTCTGGTTTATTAAAAATGTACAAGATTCCCATTTTAAAAAATACTTAACCAAATAAAAAGAAACATTCTAAAATGTAAACTAATTTTCTCTGAAAATCCTTTGTCCATGCGTCCTAATTAAATAAGCTCTAAGCTAGTTTACTGCAAATTGTGGCAGAAGAGACTGTAACATTTATATTAACACCGGAAGAACTTAAAAAGGAAAATTTCTCACATTATCATATCTGGGTGGGACTGGCTTTGTTTATACCATTCCCCCCAACAAAAATCACTCTGGTTTGTGAACATTTAGTAATCCATCAACTTGAATGCAAATTTCCAACTCATAAAATAGTAATAATGCCTTCTTTATGGAAAGCTGTGTGTTGATGGCTGTTAACTGGCACTTGAAAATGAGATAATTAAATGTTACATACTTAATAAAATGCCTAGTCTTTGGCACAGGTGAATCTTTTAACCTATTGTGATAGTCAATGAATGTAGGTTTATATAACAACAGAAGTGGTGGGTCGGGGCAGTGAAATCAGCAGCATCTTCAGTGATACTAACTTCTCTTACTGATCAGGAATAACTCTCATCATTATAATAACTGAGGGTGAAAATGTCCTTTATGTCTCTAAGCAAACAAGGAAATCCTGCATAGTCAAAAGGATATTATTTTCGTCTTACAAAAACTTATTTTAAAAACTTACAGATCATAAAACTGAAAAAATTTATACTCTGACTACCAAAAAAATGGACCCAATCTCTGGTCTTAGGAGTAGCAGCCCAAATCCCAGTTCTTAATGAAAGAGGGTTGAGGATATGCTGTCACAGGATGTGCTGTGGCAGTGGGCGACCTCTTTGAAAGCAATACCTTATTTCTCCTGAATATTCAAATAACAAAAAGGCATAACCAAAGTCATCTGGGAAAAATAGTTTTAAGTCCTAAATTTGATTCTGAAAGTTTTCCAGAGGCCAAAAAATTTTTTCTTTTTTCTTTTTTTTTTTTAAATGAATTTCCTATAAACTTTTTTTTTTAATTGCATTTTAGGTTTTGGGGTACATGTGAAGAACAAGCAAGGTTGTTGCATAGGTACACACGTGGAGTGTGATTTGCTGCCTTCTTCCCCATCACCTACATCTGGCATTTTTCTCCATGCTATCTCTCCCCAACTCCTCACCCCCCGATGTCCCTTCCCTATTTCCCCCCGACAGACCCCAGTGTGTGATGCTCCCCTCCCTGTGTCCATGTGTTCTCACTGTTCAACACCCACCTATGAGTGAGAAGATGCGCTGTTTGATTTTCTGTTCCAAAAAATTTTCAACATTAGAAACAACATAAATAGCTACAGGTTCCAAGCTATTTATAAGAGAGAGATTACTGATAATTTATGATTTTTAACACTCTCTCTGACATTAATCTTTCTTCTATATTTCTGGAACTACTGTAGGTGGGAAGAATTATCTAGGTAATAAAGCTTTCCCTCGATTTTGCTTTAAAATAGCAAATATTATATTAAAAATCAGTTTAGCATGCTAGATATTGTTTCTAGTTTACACTTTAGTCTAGTACAGCCAGGCACAGTTGCTCATGCCTGTAATCTAACCCCTTGGGGAGGCTGAGGCAGGAGGATCACTTGAGCCCAGGAGTTTGAGACCAGCCTGGGTAACATAGTGAGATCCTGTCTCTAAAAATTTTTTTATAAAGTCTAGTACAAAGATAGAAAAGTTACGTTGTATCACTAATGACATACTTATATGTCATTAACACATCACTTGTAACTGTTTTACTTTGTGCAATTTTCATATTGTTGAAAAAACCTGAATACTTTCTAAATCTCAGTTGAAATTAACAATTTATCTCACTTGTAGAAATTAAAATTCTTATCATTCTACTCCTGGCAAATTTAAGAACATCCTTGCAATTAAAAATAAAACTCCATCCTGACTTCATCTATCTAGTTGAAAATGGAGTTGCTGCATAATCTAATACTACTGTGCTCAGCAAGCACTTGATCCTCACAAGGAGTCTGGTGAACTAGTTTTGTCTGAATTTGACAAACGAGAAAACTCGTTTGTAAAGGCAGCAATACCAAGCTACCTTGTCAAAGGGAGCTAGCAAATGCTAGAGCCAGGATTCAAACCCAACTATGTCTAATTCTGACACTCCAGCTAGCTCTAAAACACAGCCCCCCAAGACGAGTAAAACATGATCCTTGGCTTCAAGTTTACTTCCCACTTACTGCGTTTAAATATAACATCCCAAAAGCATCAGGATTAGATCCTGAATGCTTCAGTAAGGTTCTTTTATAAAATAATAAAGACAACCATCAATTTTTAATCTCATCAATGCAGAATACAGCTCTGTAATATAAACAAGGGAAATAAAACATTATCAAAAATTTTAGAAAGCTATGCCTCAAATACACATGGGTGACATGCATTTATATGACCAATATTTACTCAGTACCAATTATGAACCAGAGATGCAGCAGTGAACAAAAGCAAAGCAACTTGTTTTTAAATTCTAGCAATTAATATACACATCAGTAATTTCATATCAAGTGGATGATTTTGTCAACATCTAGGCCTCCCAATTCCATGAACTCTTTTCCTCTAATGATCTCATCTTCCCACCTTCTCTTGGCCAGATCCCTAGACCCTGTCATTACCAACAATTTCAATTTCCTAATTTCAAGTATGTCATTCTCTGATCACCACCTTCCTAATACTCTAATTTGAGCAATCCTTGATCCAGTGGGACCTATAATTAACTGATCTACCTCTCTCTCTAGCACCTCTTCCTATACCCCCAAAGCCCATGGTCATGCAGTCCCTTGGTGTTATCTTCATATAAGCCTTCAATCTTTAGCTAAATCTTTACTCTCTACCTACTCCTCCCCTGTAGCCATATAGGTGAGAGAGACTAGGAAAAAAATCCCATGATCACAATGACTGATTCCACTTTATTTTTATTTATTTATTTTTTGAGACGGAGTTTCGCTCTTGTTGCCCAGGCTGGAGTGCAATGGCGCGATCTCGGCTCACCGCAACCTCCGTCTCCTGGGTTCAGGCAATTCTCCTGCCTCAGCCTCCTGAGTAGCTGGGATTACAGGCACGCGCCACCATGCCCAGCTAATTTTTTGTATTTTTAGTAGAGAAGGGGTTTCACCATGTTGACCAGGATGGTCTCGATCTCCTGACCTCGTGATCCACCCGCCTCGGCCTCCCAAAGTGCTGGGATTACAGGCTTGAGCCACCGCGCCCGGCTGATTCCACTTTAAATGATTGTCAGGTAGGTACTTTGGAGGAAGGACACTTAATACATCCCTGAAATAATTAGTTTCCTAATTCTTTCACCTTCTTAGCTTATTTCTTACTTTTCCACAAACCTTTAACACCTGTTTCAAATGGTGTCCTTGCTTCCTATCTGAGATAACTGAGGCATATTTCAGATAACTGAAGAAGATAATTCCCCTAGCCCCCAAATTTGCCTGTCCTCCCTTTTTTATGAATGAACTGTTCAAGAGCCAATCCGAGCTATCAATTTCTCCTCTAGTGGATCATCCCATCAGCCTGCAAACTTACCATTATTTTCCCCACCTTAAAAAAAGTAATTTCCTTTTCCAGCTACAACCCCATTTCTGTTCTTTCAAGCAAAATTCTCAAAAAAAAAAAAAAAAAAAAAAGGCTGTATGGGCCACCTATAAATCCTCTTTTCATTCCCTTCAATTCACTGAAATCTGTAAGCATTGTACTCTTACCACACTACCAAAACTGTTTTGGAAGTTACCAAAGACTTCCACAGTGTCAAATCTAGGGGTCAATTAAATTCTCAGTCCTTACTTCTCTGACCTATCAATAGTATGAAACACTTCTGCATTGGCTTCCAGGATATCATTGCTCTCTGCCCCTCCAATCTCTTAAGATTCTCTTCTTCACTCATTCCTCCGCAGCCTCAAAGTCTTCCTTAATGACTTCAAACATGGCAGGCACTCCTACTTTAGGACCTCTACACTAGCTGTCCCCTATTCCCTCGTCTGGTATGTTTTTCCTTTAGATGTCTACATGGCTTAAAGTACCATGCAACATTCATTTGAATGTTCTGAGTGACCAAAGTGAAATGGCTACAACTGGAACACAATGAAGAGGTGCAGAAAACCAAACTCAAACATCCCAAGGAAATGCAAGTTTTAGAACTTTTGGGGAGACAGCACGGTGCAGCCACATTCTAGGACTGTTCCAGTGGTGATCCAGGAAGTGCCTATGAATAAGACTCGTACATTTCTCATCACTGTTCTTTCAACTTCTAGCACAGCACCTGGCATGTAGTAAGTATTCAAGCATCTGGTGATTGAGCATTGTATCATAAGGAGCCTCCATTTTCGTCAGTTAAATGAGCTGTATTTACACTCAGTTTCTATTTGCTAATGTAAAAAAGATTAGGTAAGTCTATCGTAATACTTTACGCTCCTTGTTAGTAGTTGTCAGAGGCAGATTATCAATAAACTATAACAAATATATTCAACACTCTCATTCTAATATTCCAAAATATACGTATTTACACAGGCTAGGATTAAAATTAAGTACAATTTCAGCCCTACACACATTTAAGGTTTTGAAATGTCATGAAAAAAAGATAATCTTAGTTTTAATCCAAAAACAATGGCTTTAGGACAAAAATTGTAAAGGCGAAACAAAATTATTAGGTATAAGGAACAAAGAACAGGGACATGGAACTTCTTAATTAGCATCCTTTCTGGATACTAACTATATCAATTAGCAAAGTTCTTTTTTTTCTGTGCCTTTGGCTTTATGTTGCCAATCTCTTATTTCTGTAAGAGAAATATTAATTACTATATATTATGCAAATGCAAAGATCAGTGTCAGGCATATAGTTAGCTCCCAATACCATAAATCACCTCAAACAGACAGAAAATATTAAAAAATACAAGATAACAGACATGTTTGCTAATACTTACACCAGGCAGCTGAGGTCTGCCAGATCATCGATGAAATCAAACAACTGACTGATGTCATATGTAATAGAAGGACTGTTGGGATTCATTCTTTTCAGATGTTCTTCATACATTTTACAAACGCCTAAGGAAGGATAGGCAAAAACCAAAATCTTACAATCACTTACAAAAACTTCTAGATATGAGTAGTGCTATATGTCAATATCATATTTACTTTATAATAAAGTTGGGCTGGGGAAAAGATGGTAGATTGATGGTTTTTGATTATTGCCACTAGCAAATAGTTTTTTATAAATTCACCCGGCCAGGTGTAGTAGCTTATGCCTGTAATCTCAGCACTTTGGAAGGCTGAGGCAGGAGGATCACTTGAGCCTACCAGTTTAAGACCAGCCTGCCTGGGTAACATAGAGAGACCTCATGTCTACAAAAATTTAAAACTTAGCCAGGCATGATGGCATGTGCCTGTGGTCCCAGCTACTTGAGAAGCTGGGGTGGGAGGATCACTTGAGCCAGGGAGGTCAAGGCTGCAGTGAGCCATGTCCGCAGCACTGCACTCCAGTCTTCACCACAATAGTGGTGTAACTATTTTGTGTCTTAAGGTGGTAATTTAAGTCCAAGTAATCCTGGACTATGGATGCAGACAGACTTGAGTTCCAGCTCTGCTCCTGTCAAACCATGGACAAATGACTCCATTCCCTGAATCACACCTGTCAAATAGTTAAGAGTGCCTTTTCATAGAATTGTGCCGTTTATTTGAAATAATGCACATAAAACATCAGCACACAAACAAGCATGTAAGTACTCAAAATAATAAAAAAGATGAGCAAAATCATTAATAGCAAGCCCACATTACTAACTATAATTATCTATAGAGTACATTATCTATTCAGTTTTTATTCAATGATACTCTCCTTTCTTATTCCCACAAAAGGAGAATATATCTTTTCAGTCTATCCCCACTGTCAACTATTTAAGACTACCACAATGAATGGATAAGTGACATAAATGTTATCTAGCAAATACATGTCCTATACTGTGTACAAAGGCCCTTTATTAGCTCCAAATTAACTTTTCAAATCTCCTAATAAAAATACTATTCAACCACAGAACTATCAAACAACTATCTTAGTGTTTTTGATCGCTACTGGCATACTACATTGTGATCACAGAATATCACCCATGAGTTACTGAATGGAAAGAAAAAATTAGGAAAATAAATTCACATGTCTTAAAAAGGCACTGACCCATGGTTACCATCATAATTTTTTTTTTTTTTAAGACGGAATTTTCACTTTTATCACCCAGGCTGGAGTGCAATGGTGCAATCTTGGCTCACTGCAACTTCTGCCTCCCGGGTTCAAGCGACTCTCCTGCCTCAGCCTCCCAAGTAGCTGGGATGACAGGTGTGTGCCACTATGCCGAGCTGATTTTTGTATTTTTAGTAGAGACAGGGTTTCACCATGTTGGCCAGGCGAGTCTTGAACTCCTGACTGCAGGTATCTACCCGCCTTAGCCTCCAGAAGTGCTGGGATTACAGGCGTGAGCCACTGCGCCTGGCCTCCATCATACTTAATGGTTAAAGACTGGATGCTTTACTGCTAAGATTAGGAGGAATACTAAAATATTTACTGTTGCTACTTGTATTCAACATTGTACTAGAAGTTCTAGCCAGGACAATTAGGCAAGACAAAGAGAAAACAACTTTAGATTGGAAGAAGTACAGCTATCACTATTTGCAGATAATCTACATTATCTCGTAGATAGAAAATCCCAAGGACACAATAAAAAACCTATTAGAATTAATAAATGAGTATGGCAAGGTTGCAGGATATAGGATCAGCATATGAAAATAAATTCTATTTCCACACCTTAACAAATCTGAAAATGAAACTAAGAAAACTTCATTTATAACAGCATAAAAAAGAATAAAGTTCTTAGAAATAAATGTAACATAACTAAAGAAATGCACAACTTGTACACGCTACACTATAAAATGTCATGGAACAATCCTTTTTTTTTTTTTTTTTAAATCTTGAGACAGGGTCTCATTCTGTCGCCCAGGCTGGAGTGCAGTGGCCCGATTACAGCTCACTGCAGCCTTGACCTCTCAAGTTCAAGTGATCCTCCCAAGGAGGTGGAACTATAGTTAGCGACACCATGCCCAGCTAATTTTTATACTTTTTGTAAAGCAGGAACTTCATCATGTTGCCCAGGCTAGTCTCAAACTCCTGGGCTCAAGCAATCCGCTCACCTTGTCCTCCCAAAGTCCTTGGATGACAGGTGTGGGATGACAGGTGTGAACACGTTCCCATGTTCATGGGTTGGAAGACCTGATGGCAATACTCCCCTAAATGATCTACAGATTCATGTAATTCTTATAAAAATCCAAGCTGCTTTTGCAGAAACCAACAAGCTAATCCTAAATTTGACAGAGAAATGCAGGAGACCCAGGAAACTCAAAATAATCTTGAAGAACAACAACACTGGAGGATTCAAACTTCCTGATTTCAAAACTTACTAGGAAACTACTGTAATAAGACAATGTGGTATTGGCATAAGGATAGGTATATAGATCAATGGAATGAGAGTCTAGAAACAAACCCCCACATTGATGGTCAATGCTTTTTGACAAGCATGCCAAAACAATTCAAGAAAGAACGGTCTTTTCAACAAATGGCCCTATGACAACTAGATAGTCACATGTGAAAGAACAAAGTTGGACACATCCCTAAAGCAGACCAGAGACCTAAAAGTAGGAGCCCAAACTCTAAGACCCACAGAAAAAAATAGGCTGGGTGCAGTGGCTCTCACCTGTAACTCCAGCACTCTGGGAAGCCAAGGTGGGTGGATCACCTGCGGTCAGGAGTTCGAGACCAGCCTGGCAAACATGGTGAAATCCAGTCTCTACTAAAAATATAAAAATCAGCTGGGTGTGGTGGCACACACCTGCAATCCCAGCTACTTGGGAGGCTGAGGCAGGAGAATCACTCAAACCTGGGAGGCGGAGTTTGCAGTGAGCCGGGGTTGCGCCACTGCACTCCAGTCTGGGTGACAGAGTGAGACTCCACCTCAAAAAAAAAAAAAAAGAAATGGGAGAAAATGTTTGTAAACTAGGCATCCAGAATCTAAGTCACTCAAACAACTCACCCAGAAAAGAACAAATGGTCCCATTCAAAAGTGGCCAAAGGATATGAGCAGACATTTTTCAAAAGAAGTGGTTAACAAACACATGAAAAAATGATCATCAACTAATCATCAGAGAAATGCAAATTAAAACCACAATGAGATACCAACTTTCATCAGTTAGAATAGCTATTATTAAAAAGAAAAAAAAGGGCAGGTGCAGTGGCTCACGCCTGTAATCCCAACACTTTGGGAGGCTCAGGTGGGGAGATCACATGAGGCCACAAGTTAGAGACTAGCCTGGCCAACATAGTGAAACCCTGTCATACTAAAAATACAAAAATTAGCTGGGCGTGGTGACACACACCTGTAGTCCCAGCTACACAGGAGGCCGAGGAGGAGAATCACTTGAATCCAGGAGACAGAAGGTGCAGTGAGCTGAGACTTTACCACTGCACTCCAGCCTGGGCTACAAAGTGAGACTCTGTCTCAAAAAACAAAAACAAAGACATTGGCACTCATATGTTTACTCCAATACTATACACAACCGCAAAGTCATGGACTCAACCTAAGTGTCCATCATCAGTGGATGACTAAAGGAAATGTGGTGTCCATGTGCATATATACTCACACATACCATGGAATACTACTCAGCTATTAAAAAAAGGACAAAACCATGTCTTGTACAGCAACATAGATGGAACTGGAGGTCATTATCTCAAGTGAAGTAACTCAGAAAGTCAAATATCTAACATTCTTACTTATTAGTGGGGGCTAAATAATTTGTACATATGGACAAACAGAGTGGAATAACACACACTGGAGACTACAAAAGGTGGGAGAATGGGGAGGGATGAGAAATCACCACTGGATACAATGTACACTAAGTGATGGTTACACTAAAAGCCCAGACTTAGTTGGGTGTGGCAGCTCATGCTTGTAATCCCAGAATTTTGGGAGGCTAAGGCAGGAGGACTGCTTGAAGCTAGACGTTTGAGACCAACATGCCCAACACAGTGACACCATCTCTATAAAAAAACAAAAAATTAGCCAGGTGTGGTAGCAGGTTCCTGTAGTCCCAGCTACTTGGGAGGCTGAGGCAAGAAGACTGCTTGAGCCCAGGAAACTGAGGCTGCAATAAGCCATGATCACCAATGCACCCCAGCCTGGATGGCAGAGCGAGACCCTGTCTCTTAAGGAAAAAAAAAAAAAAAGAAGGGCCCAGACTTTACTACTATGCAATGTATCTATATAAGTACAGAAGTGCAGAAGACTGCACTTGTATTCCTTAAATCTACTAAAACAATCTATTAAAAACAAACACAATTCTATAGTACATGAGTTTAATCAGTATAAGGGATACCTGTAAAATATTTCCATACTATAACAAACTAACATGTGACAAACGATAAGACAATATTTATAAAACAATGAGAAGCTCTGGAAAGTCATTCATTATACACATTAGTTTAATTAAAAAAAAAAAAAACCCTAATACTTGCAGCAAGGAGGATAGTATGCACATAATTAATGTTTAAAATGTTCAACAACAAACAGGCCAAGGCAGGCAGATCACTTGAGGTCGGGAGTTCGAGACCAGCCTGGCCAACATGGTGAAACCCTGTCTCTACTAAATACACAAAAAATTAGCTGGGGTGTGGTGGCGAGTGACTGTATAGTCCCAGCTACTTGGGAGGCTGAGGCACAAGAATCATGTGAACCTGGGGGGTGGAGGTTGTAGTGAGCTGAGATCGCATTACTTTACTCCAGACCGGGTGACAGAGTGAGACTCTGTCTCAAATAATAACTAAATAATATGTTCAACAACTATGATCCAGCCTAAATATCTAACTTCCCTCTTAAAATTGGCAATTCAAGAAATTTGGAGGTCAGAAGTGATGAGGGCAGGGCTTGGGGTGCACTACTTAAAAAAAAAAAAAAAGAAAGAAAGAAATTTGGAGGGGGAAAACCCAGTTCCTAAATGAGATATTTTTCTATCCCTTGATTAGTGTTAAACTCACCTTCCATGCATTCATTCACAGATTCGTAATCTGCATAAGTTCTGCCTTCTGGCCTTTTGGTAGGCTGTACCAGCAAAATAGTGTGAGACTGCAGGGGGAAAACATGATTTCAATATAAGTTTCTATTTGAGAAATTCATAATACGATTTTTAAAAATCCCCACTTGTGATGCAATAATGATTGCTAGTTATTCAAACGTAACTAGAGAGGTCAGGCATGGTATCTCATGCCTGTAATCCTCGTCTTCTGGGAGGCTGACGGGGGAAAATCACTGGTGGCCAGGAGTTTTGAGGCCAGCCTGGGCAACAAGCAAGAATAAACATGCTGGGTATAGTAAGCTGGATCTGTCAGCTTTGAGAAAAGGTTAGACAACCCTGGCCCATTGTTCCTACAGCAGGGTACAGCATTTGGAGGGAAAAAGAACCATCCCTGGCCGGGCGCGGTGGCTTACGCCTCTAATCCCAGCACTTTGGAAGGCTGAGGTGGGTGGACTGCTTGAGGTCAGGAGTTCGAGACCAGCCTGGCTAACATGGTGAAACCCTGTCTCTACTAAAATACAAAAACTAGCAGGGCGAGGTGGCGGGCGCCTGTAATCCCAGCTACTAAGGAGGCTGAGGCAGGAAAACTGCTTGAACCCGAGAGGCGTAGGCTGCAGTGAGCTAAGATCGCCCCATTGAACTCCAGTTTGGGCGACAGAGTGAGGCTGTCT